TGGCAAGATTTCAAGTTTTGAGCAATCCGACACATCTAGCTCCACTAAGCTTTTCAACATGCGAATGCTACTTGGAAGAGTTGCAATGTCTCTTAAATTGCTCAAATTTAGCTTGGTAATGTGAGTTTGGCACTGAGTAATAGATGATGGTAGTTCTCTTATCCCAGAGTATTGCATGTAAAGCTTTAACTCCAGCTTCATTCTTCCTAGGATTTCTGGAAATTTCTCTAAACTATAGCAACAATATAGTCCCAGATATTCAAGAGATTCCATGTTAACACATGGAAACCTCTTAAGGCGACGACAACTATCCAAATCTAACCGAATGAGTTTGCTGCAACATCCCAGGGAATAATGAACCTCTTCAAGATTACTACATTTCTTCAAATTCAAATACTCCAAATTTGGCATCCCCGTAAAATCTGGTGTTCGCATCAGGCTTTCAGATTCCCTGAGATCTAGCTTTCGCAGATACGGCAAATGCTATTCAGAACACAAAAAGAATGAGAGACAGCAAACACAAGAACAGACGGATAAAAGAATTATCATATCAATATGGTAGTGGGCTATCTATGAATCAAGAAACTATTTCGTTCTTTTTTTTTTCTTCCCAAATGACCTCTGTTCTCTTGAATTTTAATTATTGTTGCTAGTGTTCCTAAAAAGTATTAAGTAAAAGATTTACTCCCAAGACCAATAATGAACGATTACATTTGGATCATGAGGGTCAACACATTATTTTGTGTGAAATTAGAAATTAATATTTTAATCTTAATATGGAAATTATATGTTTAGTAACTAAATAAAAGTGTATTATAAATAAAAGTACTGATAAATTTATTTAGACATGATTGAAAAATATTGTAGCCAAATAGAAAAATGTATGACTCTTTCAAGAAGTGTAATATAAAATGGGAAAACAAAGTGTTAAATTCAGAAGCAATGTATGCAAACTTACACAATATACAATTTAGGATAATATAGAAAGGTTGCAGAAACATTACATAAGGAATAATATATGTATAACACATTAATTTGAGCATTTGGAATTAACAATTTTTTTTCATTTAAGGACATGCATCACAATTCTAGGACAAGCCAAAATAGTAAGTAACTCAAATAAAACAGGACAAAAGCAATAATATATGGTCAATATCACTGAATTAAAGGAAAACGTTAGAGGAAAAAAATAAATAATTCAGCTATTGTACCTTTATCCCTGTCCATAAATGATGCACTGAACTGCGCCAGAATTGAAGATGAACAAGCCTTTTAGGTTCAAAATTAATTGACAATGAATCCCAAGGATAGTGATCCCAGACAAACCAACGCAAGTTGTTAGACAGGTACTCAATGGGGCCATCATGGCAATTGAAGTCATCACGGATCCACGAATTCAAGTACGCACGTATGTAGAATATCCTAAGCCTTTTCATATTTTTCATGGCCTCTTTGCTGAAGTATAGTCGTTGAGAATAATGAAACCAGATTGCTTCCATTGCCTTGGTCCCCTGGTAAAAAGATTTTTAGTCCACAAAGTATAACTTCAAATGTCATATAAAATTCGCTTTGCCAATATGACTACTTTCTCACTCCTCCAGTTGCCAAATTTCATCATGGTTTGTACTATTTAATATTGCACTTGAAGTTATTTAAAATAAAAAATAATCAATCAGTCATAAAATATTAAAATATCATACACTTATCAAGTTAATCCAAAGAATGAAATTGGATCAAACAGATTAAATGGCTACTAGACTACTATGGCTTAATAGCATAAAAAAAATACATTATGCAGTGTTAATCAAAGTGGCTACTTGACGAATCAGGCAGTGTTAGGCAATTAATGTTACTTTTGCTTCTCCTACTAAAGTAAACAACTAAAATGACTAATGTGCGAGAATATGAAACAAGAGGAACATACATTTGGAAATCACCCTATATATTTTTGGAATATAAAAACTAGAAATTGAATATTATTGCATTGTTTAGCCTACTTACCGTATTATTGGTCATCACTTCTTCGAAATCTTTAGCGAGCCATAGTCTGCTACGTTCTCCCGGATCCTTTTGCATGTTCACTACATATTTACCCATATCTTGTATTATGTCATGCATTTCAATCGTATCTTTTTCGGAGATGAACACAAGAGATTTGTCAATTAGGACACGCAATCCGATATCAGCTCTAAAATCACAGCTCTCAAGAATCTGTATGATCTCATCCTTTTCTGTCCCTCGTAAGAAGCATGCTATATCTAAAAATATCGCCTGCTCCATGGGCTCTAATCCATCATAACTAATTTTGAGCTTGTCAACAATTTCTGAATTGGAGTATTTTTTCATTTGCAGTATAGCACTTCTCCACTCTTTTATATCCCTCTTATGTAAGAAAGAACCCCACACTTTCAGCGCTAAAGGAAGGCCTTTAGCATGACTTACTACTTCCAATGTTAGCTTCTCAAAACACACATCTGGAACTTCTTCCTTAAAAGCATATCGATTGAACAATCGAATAGCTTCACGGTCAGCTAGTGTAGTCACTTCATATAATGCATCCTTCTTCCCTATCAAATGCTTGTCTCTAGTTGTTGCAATAATTCTACTGCCATTGCCGAACCAACCAAGATCCCCTGCTAGGTACTCCAAATGGTCTGTGTGATCTATGTCATCAAGCACAACTAAAACCTTCTTAGAACGAAGTCTACGAGCCATCAAGTGCTTTCCGTCCTCCTTATTATTCACGTAATTAGCGTTTTCCCTTAACAGTTCTGAAAGAACGATATTTTGCAAAGAATGCATTCCACAATTGTTTTCTTTAACATCCGCAAGGAAGCAAGTAACTTCAAATTGATACGAGAGTGTATCAAAAATGGCTCTTGTTATTGTCGTTTTACCAACTCCTCCCATGCCCCAGATCCCCACAAGCCGAACATCATTGATTTCTATCTGTAGTAGGGATTTTACTTCCTCTAAATGTGGATTTATTCCCACAATATCTTGCAAATAAGATAAAGAAAACTTGCATAACTTGGAAATTTGGTCAACGATCTGCTGAACGCAGTCTGATTCAATCCTACAAAAAATAAAAACATTGTTGATATATACAGGTAAGAAAGTCAATAACAAGAAGTGTTTCACACCGTATAGTGCATAATTATGATAAAAAGGACACATAAATCAAACTCTTGAAGAACCAATCAAAATAGTATCTACGTAACAATATAATTGAGTAATTAAACTGATAAGCTATGTCTTCTTACTTATAGAAGCATATATAATCAACCATCAATCTTCTTTTAGAAAATATGAAAAAATTATTTAAGGGTTCTGTTTAACTCATTTTTGAGGTATAGAATATGTGTAGCTAGTCTTCATAGAAGCATCCAAATTTGAATGCAAAGTATTCCCTCTGTTCAAGCTAAAGTGTTTTTAACTCACCTGTCACGAATATCACAGCCTTTGAGATTTGCCGCTTCAGTTAAAGCATTCCTCCATCTTTATACCTTCTGCAATCCCTCAACATCATCCTTAAACTTTGATTCATGTTTGTAAAAGGCTTCAGCAAAGCTCTGCTTTTGGTATCGAATTATTGATGGATCCACATCATAGAAGACCGGTATGACAGTTTGTTCAAATTTAGTCTTGCATTCCATGATCTTCACTAGTTCATCCAAGCACCACCTCGATGTAGCATAATTTTTTGAGAAAATGATGACGGCAACTTGAGACTCTTCGATAGCTTTACAAAGTTCTTCTGATATTGATGCGCCATGCTCTAGCCTTTTGGCGTCTTGAAAGGTGAATATTCCCCTGTTTCTCAAGCCTTCATATAAGTGCCCAGTAAACGTTTTGCGAGTATCTTCACCTCTAAAACTTAGGAAAACATCGTACTTCCATCCAGGACAGTACTGTGAATTACTCGCGAAAGAAGAAGATGATGCCATGGATTCAGTTTATTGGTTGATATGAAAAAAAACTGTGTGGATAGATTGTGGTCGTGTTAAGAGATCAGCTGAATAGCTGATGATATTTCAGAAAAATATTACATACAGCAGAGAAGAATAAGCAAGTATCACTTCAAATATGAAAGCTTCTAAGACGATGGGCTCTACTCCAGTTGAATAAAACTATTGCTATTGGATCTAGTCAACTGATATATATATATCTATATAGCATTATATGTGGTACATTTTTATTGAATATTAATAGAAGTAAGTAGTAGGAAATTTCTGTAAAGCTTCTTAATCTCTTTCTCCAGTTGATTAGAATTATTGTTTATTGAGTTTTCTTTGAACTGTATGTAATAGAATGTATTAGGAAACCAAAAGTCCACTATAAGATGTACACAATGAGCAGCTAAAAGTACAAGCCGATGAAGAAACAAAGAAAACAATATGCCCAGTTGAATAGAATTATTGCTCCAAAGTTCAAATACTATGTCTACTTAATTCTATGTAAAATGGCAATAGTTTCAGTTGTAAATTTTTTATTTCATGTTTCACAAAAATGAACTCCTTTTATGGTTTTTCTATAAATATTATTTTGCTTGATAATTGAAAACCCAAAAAATCAATTCGAACAAAAAAGAAAATTGAACCAAACCAAATCTATTTTACTTCGAATTGGATTTATTTTCTTTCAAAATTAAAAAACAAACAACCAAATCAAAAGAACCAAATGTACACCTTATTTTTAGGTACAAATAACAATAATTACGCCTCAATCTCAAGAGAGTTACAGACTTATAGTCGGCTATATGAACACTATATAGTCGTTGATGATGCATCAACATACATCACCAATCTGCTTCACTAACTGATTTCAACCAAAATACAACTTATATACAAAGGGCGAAGCTCGAGTAGGTTACTTTTGAGTGACCTTCATGGCGGGTGTTCCGGTGTTAACGAGTTCGGAAAGAAGGTCAAGGATGAACAGTAAAAAAGACAAAGGAAAGAGGAGATGGAGCTGACCTCGCTGCTGACTTTGGAGCAGGCTTGAATCAATATCAGAGTTGCAATTTACAAATAAGCAAGCTACAAAAAAATCCTATCCTATAGAAGAAGAGAAGAGACAAGCCACAGAGTGAGCCGTGCATGTTGTTGCTTAAACGGCAACACCATGTAAAGCATAGAGACTACAGTGTGGCACATCAAACGTCTGAAACTTGGTAATAAAAAGGGAAGTTAATAATTGAACTACAACCTTAACACCAAATACATCTTTCCACATGAAAATCATACAACAAAGTCTAAAACTTGGTAATAAAAAAAAAAAAAAAAAAAAAGCAAAATACTGGCTTGCAGTAATTGAAGGGGAGCCTTGGCGTAACTGGTAAAGTTGTTGCCATATGACCAGGAGGTCACGGGTTCGAACAGTGAAAATAACATGTTGCAGAAATGCAGAGTAAGACGGTGTACTATAGACCCTTGTGATTCGGCCCTTCCGCGGACCCCCATATAGCGGGAGCTTAGTGCACCGGACTGCCCTTCACTGCCTTGCAGTAAATGAATTAAGATGGAGCACCAATAGTTGATGCAAGTCAGCCAGATGTCACAGCATACTCCACAAGCAGTCACTTCAGCTCCAGCAACTGGACCACACACTACTAATGGTTCTTCGCATGTCTTTCAATTGTAAATGTAATTATGTTATCCGATCCTGAGAGTTGTGCAAATGGGCGTTCATTATTGTATTTTTGCAGCTTGACAGTCGCTTTTCCATTGACACCATCCACGACTCCAACGTATCTCAACACCTTCATATACATCGATTTTGTCAGAAAAGAATAGCACAAACACAAGTAAAGAAAGCATACTTTGTTGCAAGGTTTTTTAAGTTTTGGAAAGCTTTCCTAGGAAACATGCATGTTTGTTGCAAGTGTTTTTTGAAATTTCTGATTTCTGCTATTTTCATGATATATTAAGTTGATTAATCTGGTACTTCTGCGATTGAAGTTCCAAATGAAACAGATTTTTCCTTTTCATGACTTTTTATGAAGAAAAAAAACACAATATTTAAGAAGATGTTTTACTCCCTCTATACTAAACTGAACCTCCACATTTAACTTGGTACAAATATGAAAATGGCCCTGCAAAAGTGTATTGCTAAAGTTAGAGCATGATCATTACGACAAGCAACATTTAAAGTTATGTAGTGTGTAAGAAACTTCTGGTTTTTCCAAGATGAAAATTATTTTGCAAGTGAAAAGGTGAACATCAGTTTCTGACGGAGAGAATACAAGACTAGTTGAGCTCTACATCCCAAAGGAAGAACAGTTCCAAGGCTTCTTTCATCCATCCATTTCGGCACAGCTTTCTTGCTTCGCGAACATTCATCTGAATTGGTTTTTGAAAGTCTACCTGTCAGCAAAGGCGAAGATGTGATATCATTTCACAAGACTACTATTCTGGTTTAAGAGAGGTGTCACGTCACCTTTACTAATAAGACCAGTATATAGTATAGATATGTGTAGATTTAAAAAGAATGGATTATTGCATACCCAAGTAAGTTCTCTCGCGAATCTCTTTCTCAGGCCAAGAGTCTAGTTGTTCTGCTACAAACAAAGGAAACATATGCTCTTCAAAGGCAATGCCACCGACTTTAGAGCAAAGGGCTTCCAAACTTGCAACTTACTTTCATTAGAATGTGACCTTTGTTTCTAATGTTATTACAGTATGCGACAGCAACTGGCTTCATCTGTCACGGAGTCATGGTGTTCACTATTGTCAGATCTGCTACTCCTTATCTCAATGCGATATTCTGTTGGTTCATTGTTATTTTCCCTAATTTGTAACAAGGCCTCAACCTCAGGTTCTTCTTTATACAACAAATGAAGTCCATACTTCTTCATTTCTCCAGAAAAAGATAGCCTAATAAGCCCATAGTCATTTGGTGTTTGTCCATCTGCCTTAGACGTATCCCATAAGCCAGCAAAAGGTACAAAGAAAAAATGTATATTATATTCTTTATCAAGATTTGAATGGGTCATGCAAATTTGAGCAAGTTTCTGGGTCATGCACGACATCCCGTCATCACATTTGGGAATCAATTGAGCTGTGGTGTCAATTAAGCTGCCATTGTAACATCCAGCAAATCCCAAGAATTTATCAGGTATATACCAATTTTCAGGCAAATTCACTGATACTCTACGATCCGTTCCCTGATAGAGGAACCAACTTGGGATCTTCTTGTGAGGATGCCAAATGGTAAGTACATTTTCGGACAAGGAATATGAAGCAGAGATATTCTGAAACAGGGCATGTGCAAACAAATTATATATAGAATCATTATGTGCATCATCCTTACCATACAGAGGCAAGAATTTCACCCTCTGTAGTTTCTTTCTCTTTGATACTAAATCATGGATACTTTTCAGAGCCATATGACAATCTACATACAATTCATTTAATTCTGGTGGAAGTTCTGGTAGTTGTGTAAGCCTCTCGCACTCTGTTAAGTCCAAGATTCGAAGAGCACCAAGTTGGGCTATGCTTTGAGGCAAATGCTCAAAATTATTTCCTGTGAGATCCAAATATTTCAAAGAGGATAAGGATCCAATATCTTCCGGAAGTCCTCCATCTGTTAGATTGCAGTTACTGAGATTCAGATATTCCAACGAGCATAATCCTTCAGCCACTGGAGGGAACTCAAAGTACATTCCATCCTTGCAGAATCCAAAATCCAAGACTCTAAGTTTGTTCAAGCGTACGATGGAAGACGGAGGTCGTGATATTAGGGTAAAGGTGGCATCAAGCCTCTCCAAGTTTTCTAAATCCCCGATCTCTTCTGGCAAGCTTTCAAGTTTTGAGCAACCCAACACACATAAAATAACCAAACTTTTCAACCTAGAGATGCTGCTTGGAAGAGCTACAAGGTTTTCCATACCGCTCAAATCTAGCTCGGTAATATGAGTTTGGTACTGAAAAAAAGAGGATGGTAGTTCCCTTATCCCAGAGCCTAGCATGTGAATCTCTATCTTCGGCTTCATTCTCCCGTGAATTTCTGGAAATGTCTCTAAACTATAGCAATCATTTACAGTCAGATATTCAAGAGATTCCACGTTAACACATGGAAACCTCTCAAGGCTTTCACAATAACTCAAATCTAACCGAATGAGTTTTCTACAACACCCCAGCGAATGGTGAACCTCATCAAGATTACTACATTCCTCCAAATTCAAATACTCCAAATTTGGCATTCCCTTGAAATCTGGTGTTCGTATCAAGCTTTTAGAGTAGCTGAGATCTATCGTCCGTAGAGACGGCAAATGCTGTTCAGAACGCAAACAGAATGAGAAAAAAGAAAGAACCTATTTTGTTGCTCCGCAGGATTCCAATAATAAAATATTTGATTAGTGGGGCTATCTATGAGACTATGAATTTAGAAACTGTTTTATTTTTTCATTTGTATTTGTGGGCATCAAATGACCTCTGTTTTCTTGAATTCTTAATTACTTGTTGCTAGCGTTCCCAAAAAGTACTCCATTTATTACTCCCTCGACAACAGATGAATGATAGCATTTGAATTATGAGGGCCAACTCAGTATTTTGTATGGAATCAGAAATTTATTTTTTATATATGGAAAATTACTTGTTAAGAAACTGAATAAAAGTAGATTATAAATAAAAATATTGCTAACTATAATTTAACATGATTGAAAAAAAGGTAGCAAAGAGAAAAGTGTTTCTCACTTTTAAAAAGTGTAATATAAAATGGGGAAACCCAAATGTTAAATCCGGAAGCAATGTATGAACTCTTTTTGTTTTACTAATAAGTATTCCTTCCATCCCATTGTATGCAATCTAGGATGAAATTCATATGAATCTAATCTTACTATGAGAAATAATTGAATGAGTTCTTAAATTGAGCTTCTTAGTTAAAATGATGATGGGAAGATTTGGAAAAAAAAAGGACATAAATATCTTACAATAATAGTGAGAACAATCCCAAATAATATAAAATACAATAATTTCTTTTGAGATGGAAATACATTAATTTGAGCTTATTAATTAATACTCCCTCTGGTCCATAATAAGTGACATTTTGGCTATTGGCACACCCCTTAAGAAAATAATAACTCCTAAAAAAAAGTATTTTGACGAAATTACTTTTAATTAAAATTAGCATATTGTTAACCTGACATATTGAGATTTGTAAAAAAGGCCAAAGTTTGGAAAATTGAAATTAATATCTTCTTGATTATGTAAAAGGTCACTTATTTTGGACCAAAATAAAAAGGCAAAAAAATCACTTATTATGGACCGGAGGGACTAATTTCTGTTCATTTAAAGACATGCATCATAATTCTAGCTAAAAAAAGGAAGTACCTCAAATAATACTTGACAAAAGCAATAATATTTGTTCATTATCACTAAATTAAAGGACAAAGATAGTTAGAGAAAAAAATAAATGGCAATAAAATAGAATTCAAACTGTTGTACCTTTGTTTCCATCCATAAAGAACACAGTGAACTGCTCTGGAGTTCAAGGTGAACAAGCATTTTGGGTTCAAATGTAGATGGCAATGACTCCCAAGGATACTTAGTCCAGACAAAACAACGCAAGTTGTTGGGCAGATAATCAATGGAACCATCACCGGTCTGCCACTTCCCTATGTTTAATATCCTAAGCCTTTTCATATTTTTCATGGCCTCTTTGCTAAAGCGTAATGTATCAAAATCGAAATAAGGAAGAAAGATTGCTTCCATTGCCATGGTCCCCTGATAAGAAGATCATTAGTCTACAAAGTATAATTTCAAATGTCGTATAAAATCCGCTTGCTAAAATGACTACTTTCTCACTTCTTGCAATGCCTAAGTTTAAGATACAATATTAATTACTCCCTCTGTTTCAATTTAGATGAGGTAGTTTGACTCGGCACGGAGTTTAAGAAAAAAAAGAAGACTTTTAAAACTTGTGATTTTAAAAGCTTAAGGGATAAAAGCTTTGTGGGGCCATGACATTTGTGTGGTTATAAAAGCTTCTCATTAAGGGTAAAATGGGTAAAATGAAGAGTTTAAAGTTAAATTATTTTCAAATTTAGAAATGTGTCATTTATTTTGGAAGAGACTAAAAAGGAAAGTACATCATCGAATTTGAAACAGAGGGAGTAGATTCTTTTTAAGAAATACTTATGTTACTTCAGAAAAATACTTTTTGCAACTAATTATATAGTTTTATTTTCTATTATTATATTTTTCTTAAAAGTTCATTAAAGTCAAGTCTATAAGCTTTTCATGTTGTGATAGAAGGTAATTGCAATTGAAACAGTACCAATAAATTGTAACTTTCCATAAAAAAAAAATAATGGTAAAATGAATCTCTGATTGAGATATTATGTAATAAAATGTCATAAAATTTTCAAGTTAATCCAAAGAATGACATTGGATCACCACTAGACTAATCCATCGCTTAATAATATAAGAAAAACGAATTAGGCAATGTAAATTAAAGAGTCTACTTAACGAATTAGGCAATTAATGTCTTATATTTTTACTAATTAGGCAATTAATATTACTTTTGCTTCTCCTACTAACTAAAGGGAACAACTAAAATGCCGTACCTGCAAGAGTATGAAGCAAGATGAACAAATAATTGGAATTGACTGCCCTATATATTTTTTGAATATGAAAATTAGAAGTAAATACTAGTAATACATTGTTTAGCTTACTTGCTGTATTGTTGATCATCACTTCTTCGAAATCCTTGACGAGCCATAATCTGCTGCGTTCTCCCGGATTCTTTTGCAAGTTCACTATATATTTACCCATTTCTTGTATTAAGTCGTGCATTTGAAACTCACCTTTTTCAGAGATAAATATAAGAGATTTGTCAATTAAGACACGCAATCCGTATTCAACTCCAGAATGACAACTCTCAAGAATTTGCATGGCGTAACCTTTATATTTCCCTCGCAAGAAGCATGCTACATCTAGAAACATCTCTTGTTGGATAGGCTCTAATCCATCATAACTGATTTTGAGCTTTTCAACAATTTCTGAATTAGAATTAATTTTCATGTGCTCTATAGCACTTTTCCATTCAGTTAAGCCTAGGTTATGCAGCAAAGAACCCCACACTTTGAGGGCTAAAGGAAGGCCTTTAGCATGATTTACTACCTCCAATGAAAGCTCCTTAAAACACTCATCTGGATCTTCTTTTTTGAAAGCATGTTGATAAAACAATTGAATGGATTCATGATCAGGTAGTGCAGCCACCTCATATATTGCATCATCCTTCCCTATCAAATGTTTGTCTCTAGTTGTTACAACAACCCTACTGCCATTACCAAACCAACCAATATCACCTGCTAAATACTCTAAATGATCTTTATGGCCTATATCATCAAGCACAATTAGCACCTTCTTAGAGCAAAGTCTGTCTGGAATCATCCGCTTCCCATCAAGCTTATTATTGACGTAATCATCTTTTCTTCTTAACAATTCAGAGAGAAGGGTATTTTGCAAAGAATGCAGTTTTTCGTTTTCTTTAATATCCGCAAGGAAACAAGCAGCTTCAAATTGATGAGATAAAGTGTCAAAAATGGCTCTTGCTATTGTTGTCTTCCCTACACCGCCCATGCCCCAGATCCCCAATATGATCCGAACATCATTAATTCCTACCTTAAGTAGGGACTTTAATTTCTCCAGATGAGTATCTATTCCCACAACATCTCGCAAAGAAGACAAAGTAGCATTATTGCACAATTTGGAAATTTGGTCGACAATCTGCTGAATATTCTCTGCTTCAATCCTACAAAAGTAGGAAGATTAATTGCGGATAAATGTAAGAAAGTCAAGTATTAGTAAGCATTTAATAATTATTTTTTTATTACATAGGGGTAGGGGAAAGGGAGAGAAGATTGCAAGGTGAGGAATCGAACTCTCATCAACTAGGAAAATAGCCAACAAACTGAGCTACTAAATATTGTTAATTTGCATAGAGATGATTAAAAGAATACGCACATAAAATAAACGCTTGAAGGAGCGATCAAAATATTATATGTGCAAGAATGTTATTGAGGAATTGTAGTGATAGGAACTATAGTGTCTTCTTACTGATAGAAACATATATGACAACCATCATTCCTTTTCAGGAAAATAAAAAATAAAAACATTTTTAACGTCTAAATGACAATCAATGAAATTAGATTGTGTAAGCAGTATTTTTAGCAAAATAAATTGATTAAGTTTCCTCCTTTTAATTTTTCTTTTGTAAATATGATAAATTTATTTAGTGTCTATTCTGTTTAACTCATTTTTGAGGTACAGGTTCCTTTTCTATAGTAGAATATGTAGTACTTTTTCACATAAGCAACCACATTTGAATGAAAATTATTCTTTTTGAGCTCCTTGCTTTGCTCCTATGGTAACTTGAACCCGCAACCCAAGGGTTTGGAGTTGGAGGTGCTTAGTACTTGAGCAACCCTCTCTTTGTAGTATTCCATTTTTTTCATTATAAGAAATTACTATGTGTTTTTAACTCACCCGTCACGGATATCATATCCTTTTAGATCTGCGGCAGCAGTTAGAGCAGTCCTCCATCTTTGCACCTTTTGCTTTCCTTCAACATCATCCATATACTTTGTTTCATGTTTTTCAAAGGCTTCAGCAAAGCTCTCTGTCTGGTTCCGAACATGTGATGGATCCACATCATAGAAGACTGGTATGACAATCTGTCCACATTGATCCTTGCATTCCATGATCTTCACTAGCTCATCTAAGCACCACCTCGATGTTGCATAATTCTTTGAGAAAACGACGAGGGCAACTTGAGACTGTTCGATAGCTTTCAAGAGTTCATCTGATATTGATGCGCCATGCTCTAGCCTTTTATCATCTTGAAACGTGAATATTCCACTGTTTTCCAAGCCTTTGAAGAGGTGACCTGTAAATGTTCTTCGATTATCTTCACCTCTAAAACTTAGAAAGACTTTGTAGTTCCACCGAGGAAACTGTGAAGTTCCCATTGATTCAGTCAATTATCGGAAAAGAAAAAAACATGTATATGGATCAACTAATGATAATAGGAGAGAAAGAAATAAACAATTAGCTATGGCACTTCAAATAAGAAAAGTTTGTATGAGATGGGCTCTACTCCATAGAATTATTGGTACTGGTATACATTGTAACATTAATGCTATAGTCCAGTTGACGTGAATTATTGTTACTATTGAATTGAATTATTGCTCCAAAGCTAAAACACAAACGTCCCTCTCTCTCTTCTCTGCCAAAGAAAAAGGACCCCATTGATTGAATTTCTTTTTCTATTTTAATTTTTTACGGGCAAAATATTTCTCAGTTTTTTAAATATGATTATATTGTCCGAGCTAGCTACTGCAAAAGGTCCTAATACATTCCAAGAAAGAATTTTTATAATCAGAACTCCAATTAATATCAAATAATGAACAAAAACCCATGACCCCACTTAATAAAAACAAACAAAAAATCAAGAATTTGAAGGATTTACCTTAATGGGTATGTAAAAATTGGAGTTAAAGATTGCAGCTTTTCCACTAAATACTGCAAAGTGTAACAATACATAGCAAGAACAAATTTTTATAATAAGTAACTCCAATTAAGATCAAATAATGAACAAAAACACATAACCCCACTTAATAAAAACACAAAAAAATCAAGAATTTGAAGGACTTTACCTTAATGGGTATGTAAAAATTGGAGTTAAAGGTTGACGCTTTTTATCAAACAAAGGCTAGAAGTTAAATGGGTACTTTGGTCTGCTGGATTTTTTGCCGTTTGATATTGTTGTTCACCAACTACTCAATGACAAACAATAAAATTCCAACTTTTGGCTCTGAAAATACCACTTAATAAGATTCCAAATTTAGCTGAAAATTTCAATTTGTTGAACAAGATTGGGCTGGACTAGGAGCCAGGGATTAGTGGGCTGCTACAGACTGAGTGCTTGACCAAGAATTCACAAATATTTTCTTTTTTCCACTATATTTTCCTAATTTTAATTTTAGGATAAAATTAGTTTCCCTCAGTCCCAAAATAATAGAGCAGGGTTTTGAGTACGAGGATTGAATTTTTAATTTTTTTGGATAACTCGGATATTGATTATTTTAGTTTTAAATAAGATTTTAATATTTAAAAACTACATAAAACGTATTTCAAATCATGAGTGATTTTTATGATATTTATGGTATTTATGATATTTAAAATGCATGAAAATTTGCAATCAACAAATTAAGAGATGTTATGAAACTATTATTTGTGGATGTTCATTTATTACTTCGATCTTCTTGAAGAAGATTATCCATTTAGTACTCTGTTGAAGTTTATCTACAAGCAGCCGATGCAGGCAGATTGCAAGCAACTCAATGAAATGATTTGCAGCAGCTTCTTATTAAACATGCAAGTTGCGAGCAGCTCATGCAGACAACTTACAAGCAGCTGAAGAAAAACCTCGCAGCTGCTTCCTGAAAAGCCTCGCAACTGCTTCTTTTCTTCTATAAATAGAGGAGTTTTTAGTTCATTATAGATATCACTTTGAAAGTTGAATAAAATATCAATCTCCCTCTATACTTGTCTTCAGTTTATTTTTTTTATAGTCTTTATTTTATAACACGTTATCAGCACGAGTCTCTATGTTTGAATGTATAGTTATCTCTAACTTGAGATAATTTGGAGCAAAAGACGATGGAAGCCAAAGCTGCCTTAGGTAGATGTACCTAGAAATCTCATAACTTTGAATAAGTATTCATCTCCAATGTAAGGCGACACTCTTATGTCCGTGGTCAGATCTTGTTCATTCCGAGCATCACAAGGCAGATTATATCCTTGAGGTGGTGAGTTTTTCTTCTTAGCAGTAGTGATGTAGATATCACTTACATATGGAGTGGCCAAATTTGCGTAATTTAATTTGAGCCTTTTGCTTATATTTTAATATCTTTATCATCGCTTGCTTGATTATATGTTACGTATACAGTACCTATTTTGGTATTTGTTTCCATCCTTATTATCTTAATAAAGGATTACAAAGTGGATAACATTGTTAGATTCACTTAAACTCCAACAGAGTTTGCAAAAAATATACAACCATCAGAAGTGATTGTGTTTCGTATATCTCATTGTAACTAAATTTTGTTAACCACCAGAAGTGGTATGTGCCTATGACCACCAGAAGTGATAATTTAGGCTTGCTATGGTTATAATGAAGATAAGCTAGAGAAATATTCTCTATATTACATGCACGCCTCAATTTGCTCCTGAAGTAGTAAATATTTTAAAAGAGGTTGAAGCATCACAATTTGATGTGATTAATGCGTGTTCAGATAATTATGTTTGATTTCCTGAAGGATAAGAATTTTTATAAATATTAATCTATTCCCTGAAATGAATGTGACAATATTAATAAAGCCGTAAATATGAGCGCGCTATTGATGTAAATATATTACGATTCACTTCCAGAAGAGGTAATATGATTGAGAGAATATATACTCAATTTTTCGTATTTTAATTTGCTCCTGAAGAAGTAACACGATTGAAATTTTCTCCCGAAGCAGGAAAATATTATGAAACTGTGCCTTTCTGTGCGTAAATAAAATAATGAGCTATTCAAAGTTATTTTTGAAGCACATTTTCATTCCCTGGAGTGAATGAATAAATACCACAACTCAACTCCGGAAGAGCTAGAATAACAGAGAATATAAATATTATTTTTGTGGCATAAAGATCATTGTCGCACGTGCCTGTTGTACGTAAACATCTTGGATAATTTTATTAAGTATCATTCTAAGGCAAAAGCATTATTGTAGAATGCTTTCTACTACAACCACATTAATATATTATGGTTAGTTATTGAGTTCCCCGAAGGAAATAACAACTCGTGTATCTTTTTTTAAAAGATGCAATGACTATGTGGTTGTCGTATCGATACAAAATAGTCAGATGCTAATGATATTTCTCCTTGAAGGAGATATTTGTCACAAAATTAGTAGTAGAAATATTAAAATTCTTAATTTTCGTAATTTATAAATTTAGAATTAGCTTTATATTATTCATTTAATTATGATTTTCTCTCATGACACCAGAAGTGTCTGAGAAATATTTGGTAGTATAACAAAAGCTCCTGAAGAGCTAACTGTTTGTCTAGAAGACACATGACATAAGTAGTGTCTAAATAATATTTGATTGTGGACAATAAATGAAAGGCTCCCGAAAAGCTTATTTGTCATTATTGTGGTCAGAACATATGTTATGATAAACCGAAGTTTACTAATATATGTGACTGTCAAACTGAGACTACAAATGATTGAAAGATTGAAAATCTTCATATTTTCACAATCATATGGAGTAAATATATATGTGAGAAGTTATCCGTCTTATGTATACCAGAAGTTTACTAATGCAAAAGCAGTCACAGTGAATCAGAAATTTACTGATACAAAAGTAGCCACAATAAATCAGAAGTTTATTGATGCAAAAGTTTATGCCATAGTAAACCAGAAGTTTACTTAGAGATAACACATGCCATGATAAACTTGAAGTTTTCATTTGCCATTTTTAAATGAGCTATTTGAAAATTCAGATAAGCATATATTGAATAACTAGAAGATTCTTCAAGAATTCTCTTGTGTTGCTTGTTCTCATAATAACTTAATTATACCAGCTAAAGTTGGGACTAAAATCCCCGAATTCTAAAATATATAAAAGTTAAATATAGGCTCATTCACCTATCATGTGAAACACTTATAGATGCATATATAAGATGGTTACATGTATGTTTATTGTCAACCTGCAGTTTGGCATTTGAAATTGTCTTTCTCAATTAAGAGCATAATTTTCAGATTATGAAATCAAGATAGTTCATCTTGATGATGATGATTTATATCCAAGCTAGTTTAGCATTGAATACCTCCTATTAATGGCTAAACTATTGCTTATGAGGACAAAGCCTCATGTGTTGGTCTAAGATTTTTTAAATTGCATACAACAGCACTTGTATGCATCAGACCAACAAAATATGATAAGTCATCCCCTCACAATTGATTTAGGATCAGAAACAAAATATTTTTACTATTTAATAACTTTTGATGTGTGGTATATGATTAATTTTTCTACCACAATGCACAAAGATATGTTTCCCAAAGAAGATTGGGGATATGAGTTAGTTTTTCTAATATTTGGGGGATGGAATAAAACAGCTAGAAAATATGTTGTATGAATCGAATTATCATTAATATGATCCTTGCTTAGAAGATAATTCAAGTCAAATGCCAGAAGCATTTGCTGATCCAAAATTAAATATCATATTTCAGCTGCAAATGCTCTTATTAAAATTAAAGTCCCTGAAGGATAGAGTTTACTGTACGCATGAAGTGTGGACCAATCGGTTCCAAAGGTAACAATCCTTGAAAAGAATAGGAGTAAATGATCAAAATGATCATAATTAGGAGGAAATAATCTCTGGAATAGCCCATGACATAATATTTCATGAAACTCCAGAAGAAGTTCAGGCACCTGAAAATAAAAAAAGTGATAAGATCTCAACAAGTTATGTCGCTTGCGAACTGATACGAAATGATCGTCGACGATATATTTGATATAATATAGTGCACAATATTATAAAAGATTGTGAGGATCGGACCTGCAGTCCAGACACCTGAAGATGTCATGCCATTTAAATGTAAGTTATAACCTATATGACTCATTTGATTAATTCTATATGAAGATCCCTGAAGGATTTAAAATGCCTGAAGCAAATTCAATATCTCAGAAAATGTATTCAATCAGATTACAAAGATCTTTGTACGGTTTAAAGCAATCTGGGCGCATGTGGTATAAATCGCCTTAGTGAATATTTGTTGAAAGAATGTTACATAAATGATGTTATTTGTCCATGTATTTTTATAAAGAAAATGGCATCAGAATTTGTTATACTTGTTGTTTATGTTGATGACATAAATCTTGTTGGAACTCCAGAAAAGCTCCAAAAGGCAATTGAATATCTTAAGAAAGAATTTGAGATGAAAGATCTTGGAAAGACAAAACTTTATCTTGGTCTGCAAATTTAACATTTAGCAGACGGGATCTTCATCCATCAATCTGCCTCTACATAAAGGGTCTTAAAACGCTTTTACATGGACAAAGCGCACCCATTGATTACACCAATTATTGCTCGATCACTTGAAG